AGCTGCAGAAGCACGGACTCTAATTCGAACACACCCTATAGATTCCATATTCAATGTCGCACCATCTATCTTTAAAAAGCCACCGTATCGATCTCCAATCCCGAAATACCTATTCCCCTCGAAGATGAACTGACAGCCCCAAGACCTGAACCCAATTACTCTACTTTAGTAGAGGATTACGACCCCTCACACACAACACTGCTGGCAATCACCAATCCAACAACAATGGTCAGCCTTCAACCACCCAACGACTAGTTAAAATCCTTGCAGCATCATCTCTAGTCAGAAAGGCGAAAAGCACAAATTGACCACCACTCGCCACCACCTGCACCCCTCTGGGAACTTCCACAATCAATTTGCCCACTTTGACATTCGTAACACCTCCATTCTTTTTTCCCCATCCAGCCCACTAGTTCCACAAAGAACGAGTCCAAAAACGAAACCTAGGTTGCCTCAGACCCCTTCTGAACCTCCACATCACAACCACCAGCCCCATGAATCACCATAGCCCCTCCAATTACTCATGCTCTCCTTTTGCTCTCACGAACTCCACCCCTTCGCTTTACCCATCCATTCCCAATAGCAAATCTTTCCAACAACAAAGCCCCCTTCCCATCTATCCCCAAAAGAAGATTAAGGTTGTTAAAATCGGGATCCTAGGTAGGATCGTAAGGTGAAAAATCAAAAAATCAACGATCCTACTTATGATCCTACCTAAGATCTTATACGATTCTACACGATCCCATATGATCCTACTTGCGATCCTATTATAGCACCCATCCTACAATGATATGGATCTTTTTAGCAATATAGGATCGTATCCTACGATCCGGATCGCGATTTTAATAACCATTCTCATACTGGTATAAAACTTAATGGATTATCTAATTTACTTTTGGTCAGGTTGTTACCTGTGGAGTGCTACTGATTGTTATGGCAATTGGGAATTTTGCAAACACCGTGCAGACACTAGTGGCAAAATCTCGATTTAAAGCGAAAATGAAGAAAACTAAAAATAAGCTAGAACTAAATTAGGGATCCCATCCCATTCCTTATAATTTGTGACCGGGAAGACTGTTGTGCTAGTTGAGTTTGAGGATATGTTTTTTGAGTGAGACTGTACATGTACTGTGCAGAGAGGGGTGCAATTGTTCCTTCAATGGGCTATCATGCAAGGAGTTGCAATGCTTCTACAAAATAGATATCAACGGCAAAGGCTTTGTACACATATTGCACTCGCAAGGTGTAATTGAAAAGAAAAGAAAAAAAAAAACTCCTTTCACCAACGAATTTCTGTGCATGCTTCATTTTTGCCTTTATTATCTTCAGGTCTTTCTGCAGTCTACTTTGCGTGTGTGTCTGCACTTGGTTGTGTGCTCTTTGTGAAACCTTGTCGTCCTGCATGGTTTGCAGAACTTCAATGAGTTCTTTTGCTTCTGCTGGTTGCAATAACCATGTTTTTGTCATTTAGCCGATCTGTGTTAGTTTTTTATGGCCCACCGAAATATAGATAGAACTTTTTTTTGGTGGGCATATAATGTTTATTGCAATTGTTCTCCTCTGTAGGTCTGGGATGACTCTTACCATTTGATCCTGTTGTTAATTGCAGGCTAGGAGAATGGACGTTGTTTGGGGAGAAACTGCTGGAGTTGACGGTCAACTATGGTTGTTGGCACCCATTCTATTCATATTACAGGTGATTTAAGCTGTACAAATGCCTGTTTTGGGGACCATGCCCACAAACGTTCATATTAATGTATGCTTTGCCATCCAAGTCATGTTGAATCAAACAAACACGAAAGCGATTTAAATAAAGGTTGTTAAATAATCATTTTTTTTCCTACATAACTTGCCAAAAGTTATGTACATATATAAATAATTAAATATATATAACAGCTAGGGAAGGGAAGTTTTTGTTACTATCAAACATCATCACATTCCTTGAGTGTTTTCTTTCACTACTTGCTGAAGTTGATGTCATATTATCATTCTCTTCAAGTTTGCCATCCAACAATCCTAGTTTTATACATGTAATGCAACTTTCTCTTTCATCATAGCTCTCTCTTTCTGTTTTAAACTTCTTTGGTTCACATGTCATGATGTCACCATGAAGTTATTTGATTTTTTTTTTCATTTTTTTCTTTGAAGATATTAGGAAGAGGCATGCTCACCAAAAAAAGGAAAGAATCTGTACATCATTGCATGATGATCATTAATTGCCCAATCCTTCAGTGAAAAAAATAATGAAAGAAGATCCAGTACTTCAAAAGAAATTTGTTTGGGATAAACTAAATAAGTGTACTTTTTGACTTTTTATGAAATATGGGTTGGGTATGGATTGGGTTTGAAGTGATTTAGTAGAGATGTGATGTGACTTAAATAAGATGATGTGACTTAAATAGGATAGTGATTTTTTGACTTTTTAACTTTTGTTGATTATGCCAAACCAAGCCTTACTTATAGCATGCCTACAGTATTTGTGATGGACTTTTTAGCTTCTCCAGACCTTTCATTTGCTTAATAGTTCTACTACATATTTTCTTCAGTAATAGGTCTCGCAAATTAATTGTTCACTTTCATTTGTTAGTTGCTACTAATCCAATAGATGAAGCAACAATATGTCACCATAGAGATCTGAGCTAAATTGAAGTGACCTTTATTTGTATGTTCTTGATTTCAGGGTTTTGAAGCATATGTCGGAATTTTGCTACTTAAAGTTGCACTGGCTGGTGTTGTTTCTGAGTGGCAAGTAAGAAGTATGTTTTGAGTATTGTTATGTGGATGCTTGGAGAAGTATTGCCATGGGTTTTATGTTTGTGATTTACTTTGCTTTTAAGATTAAATTCTTAATTCTGTTTCAATATTTGCTTGAGTAATTTAACATCTTAGTTGGACTCATACTCTAGGTTGTTAAAATCGGGATCCTAGGTAGGATCGTAAGGTGAAAAATAAAAAAATCAACGATCCTACTTATGATCTTATACGATTCTACACGATCCCATATGATCCTACTTGCAATCCTATTATAGCACCCATCCTACAATGATATGGATCTTTTTAGCAATATAGGATCGTATCCTATGATTCGGATCGCGATTTTAATAACCATTCTCATACTGGTATAAAACTTAATGGATTATCTAATTTACTTTTGGTCAGGTTGTTACCTGTGGAGTGCTACTGATTGTTATGGCAATTGGGAATTTTGCAAACACAGTGCAGACACTAGTGGCAAAATCTCGGTTTAAAGCGAAAATGAAGAAAACTAAAAGTAAGGTAGAACTAAATTAGGGATCCCATCCCATTCCTTATAATTTGTGACCGGGAAAACTGTTGTGCTTAGTTGAGTTCGAGGATATGAGAATTTCTTTCACAACCCGTTATTCCTTGTAACAACCTTCTCACCTTTATACGCTTAGACTAGTGAGGATGTTTGTGAGAGTGACCTTTAATTGCATCAAATAGAGTTATAATTTGGTTGTTACAGTTGTGCCAATAGTCTATTATACCTATTATTTTGTGTAATTTGTCTTTTTGTGAATTAAGTAGACACATTATACCGTTACCCTTCCAGTGCTTTTTTGTGTCTTCTGTCATTTTGAATCTGGTTGTTTTGTTTTATTTATGGGCTAATTACACGGACTTCCCTGTGGTTTCTAAAATGAAATTACACTGTTCTCTCTTAGCAACGGAAATGTCTTATTTATATCAGTATATTTTGGCAACTAGATGCCAAAATTACCTTTTATTTCTTAAATACTGAACACTCAACTGAATCCATCCGGCCGAGGCCCTTGTGGCCGACTGGCATGCAGCTGCGCCATAGGGTTACCGCGGTGAGTGAAAAGTTTGAGGTTCGAGTTGATGGATCAACGGCGGTTCCTTAAATTTATAATCTAATTTTACTAACATACTAACATTCTATCTTTGACCAAAAAAAAACTGAATCTATCCTTGCAACCAAACAAGCCACATTAATATTAGCATAACAAGCAAACACCCCCTTATCTTTGACTATTTTCTTCCATCTTCCTCCCGTTCCTTCTCCATTGGCAACACCACCACATTTCACAGTGGGAGCAAAACCTTGAGTAGGGAGGAGATGGCGACAACTCTCTCTTATAGTCTCTTTTGAAAATCTCTCTTTCCTTCTCTCCAACAACACACTAAATCCATCACAACCATTGTAAACTTGGGCTACTACAGCTGGTTTTCTAGTGCACTTGTGTTGTTGGTTGGTTGCTGGTTGGTTGTTGGTTTTCTGTTGGAATACTTGTTGCTGATAATGGTTTAAATGCGAGCAAACTAATTTTTATAAAATATATATATAAATAAAATTGTATATATTTTAAATGCGAACAAACTAATTTTTATAAAATAAAATTGTATTAAAAAGTCATCCAATATAACGTTCCAACATACATAAAAATATATAACAATGTTTCATTTATTACAAATACCTTAATAATTAAAATATTATGTACTCTAATATTACGCATTGAAGCATGAGGAAGGAGCATAGCTCGCTTTCAGAGAGTTGAGATAAAGGTTTGTAAAATTAATTTAAATTGAATAGATTATAATTGTCTTTTTTTTCGTTGTGACAAATGCAATAAATTAAATAGGTTATGATTATTAAATCGATATAATTTTTTTGTGTTCACAAAATAAAAAATGAAATGTCCAACATCTTTAATAGTTCGAATTATCAAAACAAGATCTATGACAGACCTCATAAGACTAAATAGCGCTCTTCAATTCAAATTATGGACCGGAGAGAATTTCCTCATATAAAATAACTACATTAGTGGTTGTGTTTTTTTTTCACTCTCTAATTTAAGAGTGGATCGGAGAGAATTCCCTCATATAAAATAACTACATTAGTAATTCTTTTTTTTTTTCTCTCTCTCTCTCTAATTTAAGAGGTTTCATAGGGAGTAGGGAATCGAATTAAGAGGAAGATCCCTTCCATTTCAAAATTTGGATTGGAGAGCATTATTTTGGCCCATGAGGCCTACAACATGCCGCTTTCGATAATTTGAATCGTTCATTTTATCAAGCACTTTGCGTATTTCATCTACACAAAAAAATTTAAATCCAAACAAAATACATTTAAATTAAGTGCATCTAAAAAATACATTTAAGTGCATCTGAAATGTAAACAAATCATGATCATGAACTAGCAATTCTCTCACCATCGCTTCACATTCTTCATTATTTTTCGTTGCTTCAGACGACTGAACAACAACATCCAAATCATCTGACATGAGCTCCTCAAAAGTGAATTCAACTTCCTCATCATCTCCTTTCCATGAATTGTCTCTCTTACTCTTCATCTCTTCAAGAGACATCAATAAATAGGACTGTTATTTCTCCAAATTACTCGTATATTCTTTCAGAATCGACAAGTTAAACTTCAAAACATCCACAGGATGCCAATTCAATTTGCAGAGTGCCGTCGCCAAATCGGAAGGAGTGCCGATAGGAGAGAAAGCGACGCCGGCGATGTTGAGACGAGAGATTTCCACAGCTTTCTTAAAAAGGCTTTGACGGCCAGTGGCGGAATTTAGTCGCTAAAAATGCCAGAATTGGCGACAAAAAAAAAACTTAGTCGTTGTATATTGACTTTTGACTACTAAAATATTTAGTCGCCGAATGGAAAATAC